TGAGACCTTTTGTACAATGTTCCCTCGATTATGGAGCACCGTGTCGCCTTCCTTCGGAGGCGCCAGGCTTCCTTCGGGTCATCCGGCACTGTCCCTTGGGTCAAGAATAGAACGATCGGTGCCCTCCACCCGGAGTCGGTGCCCCCGTCTCCCAAGGTTGCGACCAAATATCGACGAGGTACTTCTGCGGTGACTATGACTTTCCGATCCTCCGCAAATTCCACGGCGGTGGCCAACTTGGAGAGAGCGTCTGCATGGGCGTTCTCTTCGCGTGGAATGTGGACAAAGGAGATTTCGCCAAACCAGGCTCCCAATTTCCTGACCCTTTGCACGTATCCTTCCAACGCTTCCTCCTTTACTTCAAATGTCCCATTAAGTTGGTTGACGACGAGGGCCGAGTCGGACTTGACCTGGACTTTGTGGGCGCCCAGTTCTTTAACCATGGTCATGCCTGCAATCACCGCTTCATATTCTGCAGCATTGTTTGTCTTTAAAGTGGCGAATCGTAGTGCGACCTCGTGCATCGCGCCTCCGGGGCCTATCATCACAATTCCCGCTCCAGCGCCTGTACGGCTGGCCGCTCCGTCGACTTGAACTTGCCAACAGTCGTCTGTCCCGTTCTCTAACTCAGCTATACCCTCTGCGACGAAGTCAGCCAGGACCTGGGCCTTGATGGTGGGGCGAGGCGCATACCTGACGTCAAACTCACTTAGCTGGACCGCCCACTTGACCAGGCGCCCGGCCACTTCCATTGACCCTAATGTGGATTTCAGAGGGAGGTTGGTGAGGACAATGATGGTGTGGGCCTGAAAATAAGGTCTTAATTTGGTTGCGGCCATCACTACTGCCAGTGCAGCCTTCTCGATGGGCGCGTACCGCCTCTCGTGGGAAACCATGGTGCGACTGACATAGTACACTGGTTGTCTTCTCCAGAGTGGGCTTCTCTTGTGACAAGCACTGCACTTACCGAGACCTCTGACACAGCAATGTAAAGGTACAGAGGTTCTCCTTCTTTAGGCGTCGTCATTACGGTCGGGGCGCTTAAGAGCTGCTTCAATTCTTCAAACGCCCCGTCACACTCAGTGGTCCATTGGAAACACGCAGCCTTCTTGAGCGTTCGAAAAAAGGGGGCAACCTTGTCGGCGGACCAGGGGATAAAGCGCCCCAGCGCTGCCAGCCTGCCCGCTAGGCCTTGCACCTCTTTGGGCGTCTTCGGGGGGGGGGGGGGGGGGGGGGGGGGTCAGCTTGAGAATGGCGTCTACCTGCTTTGGGTTGGCTTCTATACCTCTTTTGGTGATCATGAATCCCAGAAACTTTCCCGCTTCGGCGCCGAACACACATTTGAGGGGGTTCAGGCGAAGCCTATGCGCTCTCATGGCCTGGAACGTTTCTCGCAAATCTTCAATGTGGTCTTCTCGTTTCCGGCTTTTGACTATGAGGTCGTCCACGTAGGCCTCCACATTTCTGCCGATTTACTGCCGGAAGACATTGTTGACCATCCTTTGATACGTGGCGCCCGCGTTTTTGAGCCCGAAGGCCATGACCCGATAACAGAAGTTTCCAAAGGGTGTCATGAAAGCTGTTTTGGACCGGTCTTCCTCCGCCATGGGGATTTGATGATATCCAGAAAACATGTCTACAAAGCTCAACATCTCGTGGTACGCTGTGGAGTCCACCAGCAAGTCTATCCGGGGCATAGGGTAGGCGTCTGTTGGGCAATGCCCTGTTGAGGCTTGTATAATCCACACACATCCTCCAGTCGCCCGACGGCTTTGGCACAAAGACCACATTCGACAACCAAGTAACATAAGAAGTTTCTTCGACCAAGTTAGCGTCCATCAGTTTGTCCACTTCGACCCTGAGCGCCGCCTCCTTTTCTGGCGATAGATTCCTGCGCTTTTGCTGCACGGGACGCCTGCCTTCCTCGACCGCCAGCCTGTGAACGGCCGTTTCGGGTCGGACGCCCGGCATTTCCAACGCACTCCATGCAAATAGCTCGGCGAATTCTCTTAGGAGCGTGATGAGTCGTTCCATCATTTCGGCAGGCGCCTCTGCAGAGATCCTGACGCATCTTTCCGAGCGTCCTTCTTCCAGCGCTATCAACAGTTCTTCGTCGGCTGCCTCCGCTCGTGGGGCCTCATCCCCCACAACTTCCATCACATTGATTCTTGCCTCGCCGTGCCTTCGCTTGCGCCCAGTTTCCTTCGCGTAACGCGGGGCGCCTCGCCCCCGGGCCACGCCCACCCCTTGCGGGGCAATGAACTTCAAGGTTTGGTGACAAGTGGAGGCCACCCCGTTGAATAAGGCTAAGAGGGGCCTTCCAAGGATTGCATTGTACGGCGATGGGCAGTCCACTATCCCAAAGTCTATGGCGCGCGTCACCCTTTGCTCCCCATCTCCCAAGGTGAGAGGCAGGCACACCCGTCCTATCACCCGGGCGGGCGCCCCCGAGAAGCCTACCAGCACGGACTCGGATGGTCAAATCATCTCTGGCGATAGTTGCATGCGAACTACCGTATCCTTGAACAGCAAATCCATGGAACTTCCCGTATCGACCAACATTCTCCTCACTCTGCATCCGGCTACTACCCCTTGTATCTCCAAGGAGTCCATAGACGGTAGCATACAGGCTTCTTCCGGCGCCTTGTTGAAACTGATGTCAATCGACTCCTGCACATCTACCGACGCTGCTCTCAGCCGGCGATTTGCCTCTATCTTCTCTCTCAAATCCATTGTTCCTGAGATGGCCTCGATGGTCAGACGCACGCGCTCAGGCGCCTTTTCTTGATCCAGGTCGTAAGGTGGGGGAGGCAGCTCCTCCCTTGCCTTCCCCGCTCCAGCCACACATGCCCGATGTACTCTTTCTTCAGGCTTCTTAATGAAGTCATTAAGCATCCCTCAGTCTGCCAGACCCTGTAGCTCTGTTTTCAGTTGATAACAATCGGCCGTGTAGTGCCCAATTTCACGGTGAAAATCACAATATCGATCCAAGTTCCGCTCATTGGGTTGTCCCCTCATGGGGCCTGGCCACCTGATGTGGTATCCCTTCTCCTTAACGTGCTGGAGCACGTTCTTCAGGGTGTCGTTGTACTCGGCGAAGTGCCCCGTTCCCCTAGGCGCCTGGCGCCCCATATCACTTCTCCTTGGCGCGGGTTGACTGGCGGGCGCATAGCCCGAACCACTCGGGGGGAATGGCCTCCTTGGTAGATCGGCTTCCTCCAACCTTGACTTTCTCCGATCTGCCCTCCTGGCCGCTAGCGTCTCCTCCAGCATAATCACCTTTTGCACTCTGTGATCCAGGTCCTCTGTAGACACCACGTCCCTCTTTGCGAGCGCCCTGCATAGCTCCTCACTAGAGGTGCACTCATTTAGGCACACTCCCAGCACAGACGGCTGGGCGTCCTTTACCGCTAAGGCCACCGATAGCCACCTCTCATAAAAATCCCTTAACGCTTCTCCCTCCCTCTGCCTGACCTTAAATAGGGCGCCTATGGTCAAGGAGCGCCTTTTCCTGCTGGCAAATTTTGCTAAGAACATCGCTGCGAACTGTTCGAAACAATCGATGCGCCCTTCATCGATTTGATGATACCAATCCAGGACAACGCCTGCGAAGGTGGACGGAAACACCTTGCACAGGGTGGCGTCTGTGCTGTTATAGACTTGCATTTTGGTAAAATATCCATTAAGGTGGTCCTCCGGGTCTCCAGTTCCATCATAGGCGGGTAGTGGGGGAATGTTCGTTCCTGCGGGCTCCGATAGTATGCAACGTGCCAGAGGCTGCCTCACGGGGCAATGGCGTGATAGGCGTCCCAAGATTCCTCCGTTCCACCCACTGGCGTCCGGGGGCCCGTGATCGCGTTGGCGCCATAGGCTGGGGCGCCTCAGACACCCCGATTCGCTCTCCGTCTCCTCCATCCTTTCCCTTTTTTTTGTCGGGCTGGGCGTCATCCCTTCACTCCTTTTTAGGGCGTCCACTTCCCGCCGTAGCGCCTCGATTGCCTCGTCCTGATATTCGATGATCCGGAACAATTCTTTTTTCGTGACCGAGGCGCCCTCGGATCCCCGAAACACGCCCTCACTTCCCTCACCCTCTTCCGTCTCGGGCGTCTGCCCTCTCATTCGCTCCGATTGTTCTTCCGTGATTTCTTCCCTTTCTTCATTCATCGGCGCCTCTTCACTCATGATTGCTGGCTATCTTCCCCTTCCTGGCGCGCCAATTGTTTGTGACACGCTACCCTCGTACAATCCTCTGGAATCCCTTCTCACTAGGCGCCGCTCTGCACACACGAACAAGGAGGGGGCGCCTGGGCCCGTTAATCCTCCGACGCTCAAGTTAGTTCTTTTACAAAAAGAAGTGTCTCAAACTAGGGTTTAGAGAGAGAGAGTCCAACCTGTGTAAATGCTACCAACTGCCCCTATTTATACTCACCAGAATCGAGGTTGATCCTCTCTACTTCCCTGCCTTCATTTAATGCTTTTGTCCCTTTCTGGTCAGACATCCCAACCACCCTGTCAGACTCCTGGCACGTGACAGGCGCCCGCAGGCGCTGGCCCACATGACAGCCTGACCCCTTTTGGCTTCTAGTGTCTTGTCCTTATGTCCCCTCCCTTTTGCTTGGGCCTTGCCCCCAATTGGGCTGTTTGTGAGCCCACACTGGCGCCCATTGGGCTTTATTCATGATACCCCCAACAATATGTAATGAGAATATGCGAGTCAACGTGAGCGTGTAGTCGTGAATCATACAAAGATGTTCACGATGTACGGGAATTCCCTCATCACATGCAATAAACAAATGACCTCGTATTACAATTAGGAGGCAGATTGTTGCAAAAAAACACTAAGGGGAAGAAATCCAATTTTTGATGACGAAATTGGTTCATCCCCGGTTTTAATCTCTTTGATTTCTTAAAATCGAGCAATTCAATCGACAGGAAAAAAATCCAAATTAATTAAATACGGGAAAGACTAAAAAGAAAGAGAAAGTCCGTTAATGAAATTTTCACTTTACCCTTCCTCGTGTGTTACTCAATACAGAGCTACAAATCAAACATTGTAACTGTTGGTCTAAAATACAGATCAAAAGGGTTGCCATGGAACAGAGAACGATGATGAGACGCTGATTTGAAGCAGCAGGGCGAGCAGAAGGACCAGGTGATGATGATGATGATGAGAACGGGGAAGAAGGACCAGAAGGCGTTGCACCGAAAATTGTTGCACCATTTGAGTTCGTGGTGTTGAGTATCGACGAGCTTGTGCTGTAGTAATAATTCAAACGTTAAGTGAACAAATAAAAATAAAGATGAGAGAACAAGGGCAAAAGGTAGAGGAAGTAAACTTCACCTAGTTGAGGGAAGTTGGCATGTCCCCGTGCCTGATATGCATTTGATCAAAGTCGAAAAAATTGGTTACCAAAGGATCAAATATTCAATTTTATAAACTAAATAAAATTTGGCCAAAATTTGATTAATCTAAAAGTTGAGTTGGATACCAAAATTCCCGTAACAAACAAATATTCTCATATATTAAGCTGAAGAAGTTTTACCGTTGTCTAACAGATTACAAATTGAACCAATCAATGAATCCAATCCAACATAGCATAAAAGTATAAATTTAATTTGTATCATACAAGATGTTATCACTCAAATGTACGAGAAGATTCGACCATCTTATAATTGCTCAATGTGTGAAACATTAAAATATGATAAAAATAGAGACAACTCTAAAATATTGTAAGGGCGAATTTATAAAATAATATATGAGTTACCCATACCCTACCCATAATCAATGGGCCTACTTCGGTTTAGGTAAATATAGTTTATTAGCCCAAAATTTCAAACTATTTGAAATTGGATGTTGACCGTCATATATCTTTTCTCATTCAATATCATATTGTCAAGTCAATATTATTAACAAAACTGCTAACAAAAAATTAATTTTAGGCTAATAATACTAACAAAACATCATAACGGGTCACATAATACATGCCGATAGGCCATCTCCTCCCGCGACAAGGCTTCTACTAACTACATGTAACAAAATATGCGACATCTATACGGGTGTGCAACGCTTCGGTCCTGTCTGGTCCAGAATTGCATTCGGTCCATTTGGTTCAGTTCGGTCCGGTCCAAATATCAGTTCAGTCCATCATTTCTTCGTAATTGCAAAATTCATGTGGACCGAGGACCAGACCGCATTATACTCGATCTGATCGGTTCCAGGACTGGACCATTGCACACCCCTCAACATCTAAATAAGCAAGTGTCAATAAAATGTTACGGTGAAAAGGGTTGATTGATGTATTGACGACCAACTAAAAGAAATGGTCAAAACCTTTCCATCATCTACTTCCTCTTCGTTTCATTTTTCACTCGCCTTCCATAACCCTTTCTTTGCTTTCTTCGTGTAATCCTAATTGGTATACGATTTTTATGTATTCTAATCAGAAGTATGAACAGGTCCATACACGACTCACCGACAGTCTAGAGAATTAATAATTGAACCATGAACCACTAATTTTTTCAGCTCAATGTCAAGTCTAAGTAAAAATAAATATATATGGTTATTACTTATTAGAAAATCGGCATTTTCCACTATGGTATTTGAAGGCATGAAATTTTAAGCGAGTTCCAGTTTGTGTGCATTTTGCTTCTCTCTAGAGTTTTTCTTTTTCACCTGGGCTAGAATTTCCTAATCACAAGTATGAACGGGTCCATACACGACTCACCAACAGTCTAGAGAATTAATAATTGAACCATGACCCACTAACTTTTTCAGCTCAATGTCGAGTCCAAGTAAAAATAAATATATATGGTAATTAGTTATTAGAAAATCGCCATTTTCCACTATGGTATTTGAATGCGTGAAATTTTAAGTGAGTTCCAGTTTGTATTCATTTTCCTTCTCTCTAGAGTTTTTCTTTCTCACCCGGGCTAGAATTTTCTACAATTATACATGGAATGTTCGGCTAGGCATCTACAAATATCAAATAAATAGTTTCCATTTTGGTATAATAAATAAATAATTATCATCATAAATACATCACCATAAAAGGAATTAAGCCTCAACTATTCTTTGCAGATGATTCATATTTGTTCCTCCGGGCCTCCCCCTTGGAATGTCATAATCTCCTTCATATTCTTAATTCTTACCAGCAGGTGAGTGGTCAGAAGGTCAATCTTCAGAAATCCACTGTTACCTTTAGTAATAATGTTTCTGCAGATGAAGCCTCAGCTATTATCTCTTTGCTTGGCGTGGCAATCAGTGGTCCCCAAGATCGTTACCTGGGACTTCCGATGCGCGTTTTTCGTTCTAAGCAGGATACGTTTCGTTTTGTTGAGGAAGGCCTGGTTAATCGGATTCAAGGATGGAAATCGAAGTATATGTCATTAGCGGCAAAGGAAACCATGATTAAATCTGTGGCTTTGGCCCAACTGATTTACACGATGTCGTGTTTTCGAATTCCTTCGCTTTTTTGCAGGCGTTTGAATGGGCATCTTGCTCGCTTTTGGTGGAGTCAACAGGATAGAGAGAGTGGCATGAGATGGACCTCTTGGCGTGCTTTATGTCGCCATAAATCAGTGGGGGGCTTGGCTTTCGTGATTTAGACTCCAATAACATTGCATTGCTTGCCAAACAAGCCTGGAGGATCGTCCAATATCCAGATAGTCTCTTAGCTACCACATACAAAGGCAGGTATATTCCCAACTCCTCTTTTCTTCGTGCTACTGCTGGTACGCGCCCTTCATGGGCATGGCAGGGTGTTCTTTTGGGCAGGGATCTTTTGGTCCAAGGTCTTCGTTGGTTAATTGGTTGTGGAATTTCGGTTCACATTACGAATGATGTTTGGCTTACCACCACCCCTCCTTCTAAGCCGATTCTGCTTCCTGGGGTTGTCTTACCTGACTCATTTGTTTCTTGCCTAATAAATCATGGTCAAGGTTCTTGGAAGGAGAACGTTCTTTCATACCTCTTTGATACTGCCACTGTCCAGATCATCATGGCTATTCCTCTGCCGATTTTTCATGTGGCTGACTGCTTGATTTGGCATTATGAAGTTTCAGGTGAATATTCTGTGAAATCTGGTAATCGTTTAGCTGCGGCTGAGTACATTGCTAATTTTTCTACGATTCCATCGTCCTTTGACTCCCGCTCTTGGAAGTTTCTTTGGTCACTTCCTGTTCCCCCAAAGCTTAAATTTTTTCTTTGGCGCGTGGTTAAAGGGTTTCTCTCTGTTCGAGATGTGCTTCGTGATGAGGAATTGATAGCTGATGATGATATTGAAGCTTACGCTTGTCCTGTCTGTGGTGGTGAGGCAGAGACTCTTGCTCATAGTTTTTTGGATTGTCGGATTGCTTTGGAGTTGTGGGATTTGTTGGGGTTCAATCATATTCTTGCTCAAATTCGCTTGTGCCATGTTGCGATAGGTTGGCGTAGGCTATTTTTTGATGCAGGTTTATCCAATGTAGAGATTTCACGGTTGGTTTTTCTGTACTGGAGGCTTTGGAAGTCCAGATGTTCGGCTACTTATGATGGTATTTTGTATCTCTCTCATGTTTTATTACGACATTATTACTCTCAGGTTGCCGAATGGGAGCTAGCACATGCTCATCCAGAGAGATCTTTGCCTCGATGTTCCCCTGTTTCTAGTGGGGTTTTACCTCGTGATCACCCCCCTCCTTCCATACCTCCTGGTTCAGTGTTGGTTCACTTTGATGGTGCCACCAAATCTTTGGTCGGATGTGCCATTTGTTTTGTTTGCTTTGCTGAGGCTAATAACTCTATATTTGCTTGGGGGCGTTTTATTCCTAATATTGATGACCCATTTCTTGCAGAGCTCCTGGCCCTTCGCGACTCCTTACGTTGGTGCATGGCTCACTCGATCACTAATGTTTAGTTTTGTGGGGATGCGCAGGTGATTGTTCGGATGATTAATGCGAAGTACTTGGCGCACGCGGTGGGCGGAGCTCTCCTGCAAGAGATTAAGGTGTTGCGGGCTTCTTTCCTTCGTGCAACGTTCCATTTCGCTCCCTGTAGGTATAATAGGCTTTGCTGAGGCTAATAACTCTATATTTGCTTGGGGCGTTTTATTCCTAATATTGATGACCCATTTCTTGCAGAGCTCCTGGCCCTTCGCGACTCCTTACGTTGGTGCATGGCTCACTCGATCACTTATGTTTAGTTTTGTGGGCATGCGCAGGTGATTGTTCGGATAATTAATGCGAAGGACTCGGCGCACGCGGTGGGCGGAGCTCTCCTGCAAGAGATTCAGGTGTTGCGGGCTTCTTTCCTTCGTGCAATGTTCCATTTCGCTCCCCGTAGGTATAATAGGGCTGCCCGTTTCGTGGCAAGACAAGCCCTTGGAGCGATGGTGCAGACACTTGTCGACCATCGTGTTTTATTTATTTAATTTTCCTAGCCTGGCCTTAGGAAGGCCTTGTATTTTGTCGTATCTTTGCTGCTTCCCTCTCGGGATAACTTTGGCAAAAAAAAAAAAAAACATAAAGTTATTTTTTGGCATATAAGTACTCAAAATATTGATGGAACATTACATTTTTGTACCTAAAATTTTTGTGTATTACATTTTAGTACCTAAACTTTTGAAATTCTACGAATAGGTTTAATTTTTGTATGTGTAATTAAGACACCCTCGAATAAATGGGTATCCACACCCGACTCATACACATTTAGATTGGTAAAGTAAATATCCACACCGTACCCAAACCCATCTACAAACTTCTAAACGCATATATACGTCACCCATATCCTATCTATAATCAATGGGTCTACTTGGATTTAGGTTAATATAATTCATTAGCCAAAATTTTCAAATTTTTTTAAATTGGATGTTGACCTACATAAATATCTTCCCAGTCAATATCATATTCTCAAGTCAATATTACTAACAAAAAATTAATTTTAGACTAACAATACTAAAAAAATACCATTATAAATCACATAATACATACTCATACGCTATCTTCTCGCGCCAAAGCGCGGCATCCCTCCGAGTTATACTAATAGTTCAAAACCGTGGTGACGATTTATAAGATGTGAATTTGGGTTTCTCAGATCCGAACAAAACCAAACCGGTCTAATATTTTTATATTTATATGCCATCAACATGAAGAACCAAACTCTTATCTACGAAATTGATAATCAACCAACTTTTTATGTTTATCCTTTCTATATCAATATCCTTTCCATTCCAACATTATTAATATTATATATGTAATATATATTTATTGTTCGCATATTTATTTTAAAATTTTGATATTCGATATTTTGTTTCTTTCTTCCAAACTTGAGTTTCTTTTTTTTTTTTGTGGAATCCAAACTTGAGTTTCTAGTCACACATTAGATTTTATTAAATTTTACAGTTTTGTACCAAAAATTATTTTTATTACAATTTAGTACATAAAATTATATTTCTTCAGAAACCCTTCCATCAATTTTTTGGTAAAATTATATTTTAATATCTATAATATTTTGAAACTTTTATAGTACCTAAACTTAAAATTTTAGCATTTATCCTAATTATTGCTATGAGGAATTTCAAAATAGTAGTTATTTGATATATGCATTTGAAACTTTTTTTTTATATGAATCACATTTGAAACAAATAATATAGTAGATATATATTCCAAATTCGCCCGTATATATACATATTGTAATAAACGATTTAATATTTGAAATTCAGCTTTATACTTTTTAATGAATACCGTTACGCTGCCGGGTGCCGCTTTAGCACCCTAGACCTTGGCGAAATTGAGCAAATAAATAGTGAAGCAAAAAGGATGGTCGAAGAAGAAAACAAAAATTAGGGAACTAACTTGGATTGGTGCTGGTAACAACAGCGGTGCCTCCAAAATTACAGCTGGTGGGCAAAGGATTCTTCTGGTAATAACTGTTGAATGCATAGGAAGCATGGTCCCTCAGCGTATTGGGTTTGTAGCAGCTCCCCGCCGGCTGGATCCCGGAGCAATCAGCGCCGCCGTACCCGCACGCGTAATCCAAAGCCACCTGCAGAGCCGTAGACGACGCGCTCTGGCTCGCCACGCACCAGCTCGCTCCCGGCGGAGACGCGGTTGTCGCCGCCCCAGCAGCCGGAGTTATCGTCGGACCACCCATGGTGGCCGGGGCCGTGGAATCCGGCTGTGAATCCGGGTTAAGGATTGGAACAGCTGGATTGGTACTCGGGACTGTGGTGATTGGAGCCATGATGTCCTTCCGACCGCCGCGAAAGTTGAATTTGGCCTGCTCATGTGTGGTCGTCGTTGCGATTCTCGAGAAACCCGAACCTGAATTAGCAAACGACAATATGAGAAAGGCATTATTGAGAGACAGAAAGAAAGAGGACAACGTACGTAAAACCGGATAGAAAAAGCTGTCGAAATTCAAAAGAGCGTGACTTTTGGCAGAAAGTAGAAGCTGGCACACATTTGGGTGGTTGGCTTGTTGAAGATAAAATTTCGAAAGAGGAGAGGGGGAAAATTGAAGAGACCAATGAGAGATGACCTGTAGAAACAGAGGTAGTGCCGCACAGGAAGATTATCAGAAAGCAGAGAACTCTACCAAAGCCCATATGCTCAAAAACTCAAAACACCAGTACTATTCTGTCTACTTCTTCTTGTTGTTGTTCAATTTTATGCATAAATCACAGGTGGTTTGGTTGTGCACAGGAAGCAGCAAAGTATATCTTTGAAGCTAAGTCAGGGGAATGGTGAGGTTGGTTGGAAGAACAGAGTATTGAGGAAGTGGTAACAGAATTCGTTGGTTTGGGAGTCCAATAGGTAGTTGGGGAGGGGAACTTGTGGAAGAAGAGAGTATTGAGGAAGTGGTAACAGAATTTGTTGGTTTGGTTTGGAGTCGGATAGGTAGTTGGAGAGTGAAACTAGTGGAAGAGATGAAAAAGAGCCCCCAGAGGCAGAGGGGACATTTGGGGTAGGGCTTTAGTTAGTGTCAAATAGAGGAGGGGTCAAGCAACAGTGGAAGTGGCCAGGAAATGAAAATAGGAAAAAGAGAAAGAACAACGAGGGAAAGAAAGTATTGAGAATGAAATAAAAATAGGAGGGAACGTGGAAAAAAGAAATGGAGTTCTTGTAAAAGTCGTAAGGTAGAGGGGCTCTTTTGGACTTTAAGCTGGTGAGTGATCTCTGTAATCATTACTGCTGATGTGCCATCCACTCTTGCTAGTAATTTTTTTTATGAGCATCCACATCGGTTTCCATTTGACAATTTCATTATGACGTGGCTGCTGTCAATTGCTATTTCATGGATGTAGCAAGTCCTTTCACTAATGGAAAATTTCACTAAATGAAATTCTCCATGAAATTGCAAGTGGGTAGAGCGTGGGCCCAAATTTCACTTTTTGCCTTTTTTTTTCATTTTCACTTTCTTTTATAGTTTCATTTATATAGAAGAAGTGTTTAGTTGTAATAAAAAAATTAGTTGGACCCACAAAATGAAATAGAAAGTTGATTTTATGGATGTAAAGAAAATGAAATTAATATGTAGTGGAATGATAAAAGTGGTTGATGTGGCAGTAGGAACCGCATATGAAATGAAAATGTTATTTCATGAATGTAGATGGTCTAATGACACTCTTGCTAGTAATGAAACTTACAATTCATCCCAAGTCCTAACCCACAATCTTCCACTTAGGAGGTTCAATTTTTGTGTTTCAATGTTTCCCCTTCACTTATAGGTCGCAGGACTTATCCCTACTAATGAAAAAGAGAGTGATGTTGTTTCTAATACCAACAAAAAAAAATGCCAAGTGGTACTTTCACCGGCTGATTATTTAGAATTCTGCCAAAAGTGAACTCTAAACAGACTAAATCTCTAATCATATCTCCCTTAAAATGAAGGGAAAAAATTAAAAACAAAAAAGAAGGGAACTCTCATCATATCAGAACCACTTAGAAGTAATACACTTGTGCTTAGGATAATAGGGGGGAGCTACTAGATTCCTGGGGCTTCCTTTTGTTCTTTGCTACTTTGTAGCTTGGTTGTAATTGCTCTGTTTTTCCTCTCTTCTCTTGCATTTATTTCTGCGTTTCTGTTTGAACTTTCTTTTGCTGCTTTTGTGCCCCTCTCATCAGTAATCTCTATTTGATTGGTCACCAGTCACCACTCACCAACCACGCTTAAGTTTTGGGCCTAGTTTCAATTTCAGATTATCTTGTTTGCAGTTTAATATGTTGGGCCTTTCTACCAAAAAAGCATATTGGGCTACTAGTTTTATTAGTAGGCTTTTTTAAATCTTAAGCCCAATTCGAATATTCACAAGTTTGGTTTCAACTCTTTATGGTAAAAAACAGGGAAGAAATCCAAAAGTACCACTGTTTAAAAAAAAATTCCAAAAATACCACTCAACCCTAAAAAATTCCAAAAATACCACATTTTTCAAAAACCGCCACCTCATCCTGCAGTTTACCCGAAAATCACTGGGCGGGGCACGGTTTTCTATGCAAACCGCTGGGCTAAGGGGCGGTTATGAAAACCGGACCAAACCGCTGGGTGGGGCTGCGGTCATAGATCATTCCATCACTATTTCACAATTTAGAAGTCTTCATCCAACTCCAATTTGACTTTCCAGTTTAAGTCACTCTCGTCTCTAACTTAATCTCTTGTATTTTCATAACACTAAAAAGCAAACACTAGAATTAGTCGTCTCTCAACCTCCAATTCATCAAATTAAAGATCACCAATGGCAAGAACTTGAGATGCCTCCTCTCCTCCATTCTTCTTAATAATATCCTAGCTCTAGGCAAACTCAATACTATTTGTTTAGTCTCTTTGCCCTAAATTAAACAACAAAATCTATTTAATTATTAATTGCAAAGGTAATTAATTTCGTATTCGATAATACCAATTGGGATACCGAAGTACCGATTGGGATACCGAAATATTTAGGGATTGGGATACCGAAATTATTTAGAGATTGAGATTTGAATTAATTTTAGGGTGAATTCGGTATTCAGGATTTTGATATTTGATATTGCGATACCGATATCATACCGATTTCCACCCGTACTAATAACCATGCAATATGAGGGTTTGCAACTCTATTCTTGACTAGCGGATAATACCTGCCATGTATATCAAATATTATTATATCTAGAATTAATAAAATAAAGCTTACTAAACATGTATTAGGTGTATAACATCAATAGAGCTAATTAACCATAAAGCCAACAAAGATATAATTGTTGGTAATTCAAATCAAAGCATCTAAATGTCCAATCTAATAACATCATACTAGAAGAGTTCACTCATTAAGGGTTAGAGTATAGTATCATGCCCAAAAATCCTGCTAATTCGAGATCTAGATAGCGTTTTCATACTCAAGGTATGCGGTACACTGGATTTCACCTGGGGTACTATAGGTGGCTACTTCGGTGCACTCACTTTTTGGGTGCACTCAGTGCACCCAGCTCTAAAAGTGTCCATAATACATCAAATTTTGAACTTTAATTAGTACTCTCAATATAATATGATGATATGACATAGAATCATAACAAATTAAATATATATATGGGGAGTTCTACGGTACCCAGGGTGAAATACAGGGTACCACATACCTTGAGTAAGAAAACGCTATCTAGAACTTGAATTCACTGATCTTTCAGACATGATACTATACTCTAACCCTTAAAGATCAAAATCTAGGTTTTAATTCTCTAAATCTTGTACCATTAGATCAATTTAATTAAAAACAATAATCGACGGTTATGATTCGTCCAAATATAGGCAAAAAAATCAATGCACCATCTTAGATTTTATAGTTTATGATTTAGATAATGAGGACCTAGGGTTCACTCATTAAGGGTTAGGGTATAGTATCATGCCCAAAAATCCCGCTAATTCGAGATTTAGATAGCGTTTTCATACTCAAGGTATGTGGTACCCCAGAATTCACCCGGGGTACCGCATACCTCGAGTATGGAAACTCTATCTAGACCTCGAATTACCAGGATTTTTGTGTCTGATATTATACCCTAACCCTTAATGAGTGAACCCTATGTCATAATTATCTAAATCATAATCTATAAACCCTAAGATGGTGCATTCCTTTTTGTGCCTATATTTGGATGAATCATAACCGTCGATTATTATTTCTAATTAAATTGATCTTGGAGTATAATATTGGGAGAGTTAACACCTAGATTTTGATCTTTAAGTGTTAGAGTATAGTATCATGTCCGAAAGATCGGTCAATTCAAGGTCTAGATAGTGTTTTCATACTCAAGGTATGCGGTACCCCGGATTTCACCCAGGGTACCGTAGAACTCGCCACATATATATATAAGTGGCTACTTGAGACTTCCGATACGCTGGCTTTGCTGAAAATGACAGTGTCATCCGCGAAGCCCCATTGATGTCGAATTGAATGTAGGTGGCCCCTAGGTTTAGTAGGACCCGCTGTCACAAAGTGGCACGTGGGGATGAGTTCCTCGGTTATAAGAATATATATATATAGGTGGCTACTTCGGTGCACTCACTTTTTTGGGTGCACTCAGTGCACCCAGCTCTAAAAGCGTCCATAATACATCAAATTTTGAACTTTAATTAGTACTCTCAATATAATATGATGATATGACATAGAATCATAACAAATCAATCCATTACCCTAACCCCTTAACCTTCAATATTGAATCCCAACCCAAAATCCCAAATTGTAAACCTAAACCCTAACCCTAAATCCCTAAATCCTAAATTCTTCGAATTAAAGTAAATTTTGAATGAATTTTTTTCAAATTCATGTGCTTCTTGTTCATAATATCATAAGCAACAATTGATACCGTTTTGACATGAATCGCATGGTCAGAATGACAATTATGAGGCGGGTGACAGAGTGCACCCGAAAAAGTGGGTGTACCGAATATGACACCATATATATATATATATATATATATATATATATATATATATATGTGTGTGTGTGTGTGTGTGTGTAGTAGACTCAAAATTATGCAGATACTTCGTCAGACCTATCTTATCTCGCCTAATACTCATATTAAAGTGCTACTTGCCTATCCCCCACCCCCGGGAAAGAGATCTCGCTTTTACCCCCATAACGTAAGACAACCATCGGGGTTGTCTATCGTTCAATATGTAATATATAAAGAGGCAAATCCTAAGTCTCTGCTATTTATTTCTTATCCTCTCCCGCCGCCCCCTTTATGGAGAATAAAAGGATAGGGATGACAGGATCATAGCTCGATATAGTTTTATTTTGTTCATCCTATCGGAGGTTATGTTATTTTCTGCTTTTTTGGGCTTCTTTTCATTCTTCTTTGGAACCTATAATTGTGATCATAGGTCTTTAGTCCTCGAAAGGGATTGAGATTTTAGGTCCTTTGGAAATCCAATACACATTCATGATCCTCGAGTTTGGACGAACTCTCGACCAATGTTGTAAAGATTAGGACTTTTTAGTAAGAAATTCTTAGTAAAGATACTTCATTATTGGATCAATTTATGCATCCATATTGAAACTTGACACACACCATAGCCCTCATGATGATTAAATTCTCTAATCTTGACTCATTTTCATTTTGGATGTTAGTTTTTTTATGA